TGGATTGTGTGTCTCTTTACTGTGAGAGTTCTTTATATAGTCTAGATACTAGTCCCTTATCAGATACATGACTCTTTTCTCCCATCGTGTGTGTGTGTGTGTGTGTGTGTGTGTGTGTGTGTGTGTGTGTGTTTCACTTTCTCGGTTGTGAAGCACAAGTTTTTAATCTTGATGTAGTCCCATTTGTCAAACTTTTTGGTCATTTGTGTTTTTGTGTCATATCTAGGAAACCATTGTTTCATACAAGGTCGTAAAGAGTTATTGCATGTTTTCATCTAAGAAACAATCTATTTTGAGTTAATTTTTTGTATGGTATAACATAGGGGATTGTCCAACTTCACTTTTTTCCATGTGGTTATACACCTGTCCCAGAACTATCTGTTGAAAAGACAATTACTCCCTGTGGAATTATTCTGATAACTTGTTGACATATTTCTTGTTTTTTCGTTTAAAGACTTTATTTATTTGACAGGCAGAGGTAGAAGGACAAGCAGGCTTTCTGCTGAGCAGGGAGCCCGATGTGGGGCTCAATCCCAGAACCCTGGGATCATGACCTGAGCTGAAGGCAGCCGCTTAACCGACTGAGCCACCCAGGCACCCCTCTTGTTTTTTACTGTGGGAGAAATGACCCAGGTGTGTGTGCTGCTGGGCCACACCGTGCACCGATCTGGGAATGGTGATGAAGGGGAAGGAGGAAAATGACTGGAGCAGCAGCCTCCAGAGGGAGAGGGGTGCCCAGTGGAGGGGCTGGCATCGTCAAGGTCAAGGTCAGTGTGCAGAAGCAGGAGAAGAGATGGGCACTGATGTCAGCAGTGAACTTTCTCTCCTTTCCGTAGTGACACAGGCACCAGGTCAGCACTGCAGAGAAGCAGAGGACGAGGGTTGGGAGCTGGAGGAAGAGGTTAGTGGGAATGGAAATAGGCTGGGAAAATGCAGGATACTTGCCAGCAACATTGCCACCCCTCTGAGCTTAGCGATGATGAACTGAAACAGGTGCAGAGGGAGAGGGAGGGATCCAAAGCCCCTGAGGGCTCTCTGTGCTGGGATGTAAGGAGAAAGCTGGTTCTTAGTGGCTGCAGGTATCAGCTCTCTCCTGACGATGGTCAGGGTCATTCCAAGGAGGAGATCTTTAGCCATGCAGAGGCCAGCTTGTCCTCTCAATGCAGGAAGATGATGCCATCGCCCCCAAATCTAGTTAGAGAGGGTGGGGAGGGAGTCACTAGTAGTCCTCAACTCCAATACCCCATCTGTCTCCGTGGGCTTGGGCTGCCACAACAAATACCAAAGACTGGTTACTTAACTAATAGTGGACTTGTACTTAACGATGGACATTTACTTTTCCCAGTCTGGAGGCTGGGAGCCCCAGAACAGGTTGCCAGTATGGTTGGATTCTGATGGGAGCCCTTGTTTGCAGACAGCTGTCCTCCCACTGTGTCCTCACAAGGCAGAGAGATAGTGAGTGAGGGCTCTGGTATCTCTTCTCATAAGGGCTCTAATCCCTTCTTGGAGGTCTCCACCATGACCTCATCGACCCTCATCACCTCCCAAAGACCCCACATTCAGCGCATTAATTTGGGGCACACAGTTCAGTCCACAGCACCATCCAAGCTGCTCTTGACCCCCAAGAAGCCCAGATGCTGAACTTCACGACAGAGAAGGGACAGAAAGAGGTACCCAGCCCTTACAGGGAGATGTCCACATCACTGGCAACCAACGTGAAGAATCTTTCATCTTTACACTTTCTATCATGTATCTTACAGAGTTGTGAGGCCTAACATGCGAGCCACAGGCCACATGTGGATTGACACGTCGGTAGTCAGAATGGAGATGTGCTGCAAGTGCAAAACATACGCACCAGGTTCCAAAGACTTAATATTTTTAAAAAGGAAAAGATCTCAATAATCATTTATTTCAATTACATGTTGAAATGATAATATGTTGGGATATTGGGTTAAATTATTAAATGAATTTCATCTGTTTCTTCTTAGTTTTAAAAATGTGGTTACTAGAAAATCTAAAATTACATATGTGGTTCACATTTGTGGCTTGTATGAGATTCTGTTGGAGAGACACTGGAGAGAGGAGCCCACATTGAAAATGGCCCCAGCATGGCAGATCCTCCTGCCTCAGTCCATGGGCGCCTGTGCTGCCGCCCGGGGATGAGACTTACAAGTGCGTCTTACAGAGGGGCCATGTCTCCAAGGAGGTAGGGCCCCTAGGGCAGGCTTGTGAGGACACAGCCTTGTGGGAACACAGCTGGAGCCCAGTGCAGGTGGCCTTGGACAGTCCCTGGGAGGCAGCCCCGGGGAGCTAGGGACCAGGCTGGTTCTTGTTTGGTTTAGGGACAGGAAAGTAACACCCATTTTCCAACACTGGAGTCGCCCCAGGCACAAGATGCCAAACCTGGAGATTCTTGGCTGCCTCTGCTTCCTCTGAGCCATGGTCTCATTGCCTGGGAAGCCAGTAGGTCCCCAGCACCTGTTACAATTGGTCTTTCTCTTTATTCCCGCCTCACATGCACGCTCGTGTGAGACTGCTGTAAGGCAATAATGTGTGCGGAGCAGTGTTACTGAACTTCACACACCCATCCCCGTTTACTACTTATTAAAATCGGCCATGATACTGCACAAAGACAGCTTGACTCTGTCCCGGTTGCTCAGCCCTGGGCTGGCTCCCTTCTCTCCTGCTGCCGTAAACCTCAGTGCTATGACTATCTCTATCTTCTTTCCACTTGAATTATTTTATTGGAATGTTTCCCCTGAAGTGAAATGTGTTGGCTGGAAAGTATATACAGTTTTATGGTCCCTGTGACTTCTTTTCTTCAAGTCACCCTCCCAGCGGAAGGCATCACCATGTACGTTCTCCGGCCCCGGGCGGTGTGCGCCTGCACCCCGTGGTGCGCGCCTGTGCTCTGTGTGGTGACTTCCTCCAGCCTTGCCAGTTCTGGGATTGAGCATTTGTTTTTATTTTTACCAATTGATTGTTACGTAACAGACACTGCCTGGATATTATCCTGGCATTTTCTTAATTGCAGATGAGAATGAGTAACGTCCTTCCGTTAAAATTTACACAAATTTAAGGAACAGCCACCATCTTGATAGTCTAGAGAAACCCTTTTCTGCTCCCTCTGCTTGCCGGCATTTGGGGAACCCACAGCTGCACCCAGGCTGCAAGTCAGCCGGCCAGACCCCAGCTTCATCTTCTGACCCACTGTTATCACAATTGTCCAAGAAGCCTCCTCCAGCTAATAGTCATTTATCTCCTCCAACAAACTGAGAATGCATCAGACAGTCCCCTTTCCCTGTGTGATATAGACAAATTCCTGGTATTTCTTAGTTGCCATATGTTGATTGTTCGGAATTACACACATTCAGGTTTATCTGCAAGAAAGTTTGCAGGAGATGTGGCTGATGTTCCGTTCATGGCTTATTAAAACCTCAGGAAGACTCCAGCCCCCTCCCCAGGGAAACTCATAAAAGGTCTCCTTATGGAGCCACATGCTGGCCTGGCAGGGGACCCAGGAAGGCAGGGAGGGAAAAGAGAGAGGATGCCCTACTTGCCCACTAGATGGCACCTCGCAATAATTAATGAGGAGAGGACCACTTCCTTCCAAACCTGGAGCCCTACCCCCATCCCCGCCCTGCATTGCAACACACCCCAGTCATGTTTACTTCCAAGCTAGACATCTCAAAAAACAGAAAAATAAAAAAGTTCATTCTAGATGAAAATACACCATCTGCCTGTGAAAAATCTTGCTCGTCGCTGTCATGTCAACACCCAAAGCAGGTTAATAACCGGCCCAGAACAGATGGTTTCTTTTTATAATTACTGGGTCCCCCCACCAAGGCTTCCTCCTCAGCTGCCTCCTTGCCCTGCTGGCAGCCCCCTGCTGTTTCCTGCCTACCTTGCGGCCACCGCCCAGACAGACACTGCCCTGCCAGCCACAGGGGCCAGCCCTCTGCTCAAGCCGGGGCCCCCTCACCCTCTGCGGGAATCAGGCATGGGGGCCCAGAGGGCTTCAACCCCACCTGGGAAGATGGCCACCAGCAGGCGACCCCGGCCTCGTCACCCCCACTAGCAAAGAAAAACTAATCAAACCAAGATGGTGGGATTTACCCACCAAATCAATAAAGGTTCAAGACACTATCATCCTATTTCTTGGTGAGGACACAGTGAGATGTGTACCCCCAAACCCTGTGTCAGGAGAGCAAGTTATTGACACTCACTGTCCAGAATGAATTTTGACTGAATATAACAACCTTAACAAATATCGCATATTTTTTAATCCAGCACTTTCACTTGGAGGAATCTCTCCAAAAGACTATCAGAGTAGTAGTGAGTAAGACTTCACTCAGCAAGGCCTGCTCCGTCTGACCCGGAACTCCTGAGGAGTTAGGTCAGGGTTTTTCCCAAGAATAAAGGCAGGCTGGCCAGGGGAAGGACTTCAAGTGGACATCAGAACAGGACCTCCCAAGTAGGACCCTGTGTCTGTGAGTCTCAAGAAAGGTGAATGGGGGGTTGGGGAAAGCCTCACCCATTCATTGCTCATGTGTTGGGCCCAACGCTCCCAGACCCAGGGGACAGGCGGTCCTAATTCAGAGGTCCTGCCCTGATGTCTGCCGAAGTCCCTCCCTGGCCTTAATCAGGTGCGTTCTCATTCATCTTCAAGTTTTCTCTACACACACAGAGGTGTCAGAACACCAACTCTCCTCAGCGGGTGCCCCCTTCCATACTCCAGGGAGGCCTGTGCTGCTTCCCATCAGAGAGAGCCCTAAGTCGCTGTCCTGCCCTGGGGCCTAGGGACCTGGGGCAGCTGGAGTCTGTGCGCACACTGGAAGCACAGAGGGGCCAAAGCAGGAAAGCTGGTCTCAGGCACTGGTCTTGTGGGGCTTCTGTCATTCTTTAAAGCCACAAATCCTGAACCTTCCCTTGTATGCTGCGTGTATGACCCTGGGTATGAGAGATGCTTTGACACAAAATATGTGAGAAAAGTCCTGTTCAGAAAACATTTATTGCAATTTGATGATACCTAGTCAAGTTAGGGTTCTGAAAGCCAAGGGAATACAGTATTAGGGGAAATTCGGGGTGGACACATTGCTTAGATCCTACCACATCAGAAAGAGTCATTTTCTTTGCTGTAAGTACTTAATTTTAAAAGAAAAATTCAAGAACTACCACGACTTGTCCAATGATGAGTCGAAGCCCCTGGGAGGATGAGGGCCCAGGTGTGCTGGGTAGAGAAGGGCTGGGTGCCTGGATGTTTTTGGCTTCGCTCCACAGGCAACTGCCCCTCCATGGGGCCACTCAGCCACTGGTCAGGGAGGCGACACATGAGGTAAACATGATTCCGGTACGGGGCAGCTCTTGGCCCTAAGCCCCTGAGCCCCAGGGGAGGAAGCAGTCCTGTTAACAGGTGCTTCAGACAGGGCTCATCGTCACAGGTGAGGAGACGGAACACACAGGCCTCCTGCTGTGCTCCCGTATGAGTGACAGTGGATTCAAGAAGCTGTCACCCACGTCTGCAGCAGGCACGGCTTCACTTTTCACCAGCCTCCAAGCAAAAGGGGTGTCACTACGCATTATTAGTGCACACGACCCAAAATCCAGTGTTTTCATAAATAATTTCCAGAACATGATACGGCAGAATAGGAGCTTCTCCAGCAGGTTTCACTCCATTTAGGTAATACACTGATGGTGTGGGGCTTCCCCAACTCCCCGTCCCCACCTGGGAGGCCCAGGAATCATCTAAATGAGACCCCCATTTCCAGGAGGAACGACCTAGTCATCATACTGAACTTCGGCCCGGAGCTCCTTGGTGACGTAGTTGACCAGCATGGCCAGCAGCTGCTGCTTCAGGGCCTCGCTGCCCATGACCAGTGTGGTCAGCTGCACAGCGTCTGTCCAGTCCAGGTGCCTGAGGATGGTGGAGGCTTCATTAAAGAGCTTTTGCTGCTCACTGGGCGGCAGCTCCATTATGATCTGAGGAATCGGCTTGAACCGTCCACTTGTCATCCATGCACCTAAGAGGCCCCCAACAGCGCCCCCTAGAAAACAAGGAAGGTTCAGTTAGTTGGTCCTTATTCATAAATGGTGGCCTCAGACCCTTGCTGGGAGCATGTTCACCGCCGTGACGAGTGAGCACATTCACACACGGGTGGGAACAGGCTCAGCTTCGTGTCCGCTCCACTCCACGGTGTGGGGGGCAAGGGTTTCTGGGGTCCTCAGTCCATTTGGCTCAGATAATTGACACCCAACGTGCCCTTCCCTAAGTTGTGCACTCACAGACGCAGCACAAAGCATCTCCCACAGCACAGCTCTGAGAACTGAAATCTTCTCCAGGGCCCAAGGTTTCCTGCTTCCCATGAAACTCTCATCTTAAAGGACAGAGCTGAGAAGCCAGTGCATTTGCAAGGAGCATCATCTCAGTGGTGAGGCTGAGTTTTCTCCATAATATGCTCTTTGCCCCTGAACTCTGGAAATTTCCCATAAAATCCTGTGGCTAAAGGACCCTGGGGACACAGAAGGAGATCTTTCCCTGGGAAACAACTATTTTTCATGCCAGCCCTCGAGAGCTGTATGATGATAACTACTGAATATAACTCACTCAACTATTTCTCTTCCTGTGACCCCAAAAGGGCATAACGGTTATTTTTAAAGGTAAATTTATGATCAAATTTCAGGTGCACAATGTTGGGACTTATAGGACTTATGGGAATAAGATGCACAAGGCTGCAGCCCTTATGTCCACGGAAACTTCTATCTGATCAGGCGGGGGCAGGTCTGCTAAGGAAGGCGCCCTGCTAAGGAAGGGGTCTCAAACTCAGGCGCCCTCCGGGGACAGGCAGGTAGCTGAGAGGAGTGAAGAGGGCTGAGTGAGCCTGTGGGTGATGAAGAACGGGGTCGTGTCTAAGGGGCGGGGGCTACCCCTTGCCAGCCCACTGCTACCACACAGAATCCCACATGTGTATCCTGGAAAAAGTTTCATGATTATTAAAAATCGGTCATCAGATATTAATAGATGCAGCCCAGCTGGACTTGGTGACTCTCTCTGAAAGAGCAGAGCATGGAAAGGGGAGACACTGACTCTACAGTGGATAAACAGGCAAACACCACCTTAACCAGTGGATCAAGGTGGACATAGGGAGGCTGTGGGTGTCACATGTCCCCGAAATGGTGCTATGAGACAGGCGCTCCACCGCTGTCTGCGGTATGCTTTCCCAAGGTCCACAACCCCGGGCTAAGCATGAGCAACCATCAGGCCAACCCAAACGGAGAGGCATTCTACAAGTACATGCCCGGGACTCCTCACCAGTACCCAGGCCATGAATGCAGCAAAGTCCAAGCAACTGTCACAGAGCTGGGGAGATGGAGTAAGGAGACATGAGGATTAAATGCTCTGTGATCCCTTGAGCTGGATTCTGGGACAGGAAAAGATCGTAATGCAAAAACGGGCAAAGTACAAAGAAAGTCTGGAGACCAGTTAGTAGGGACACACCAGTGTTGGTTTCTTACTTTTCATAAGTGCACCGTGGTGGTAATGTTACGGGAACTGGGTGAGGGATATGTGGGTGTTCTCTGCACAGTCTCACCAACGTGTCTGTAATTCTACTACTGTTGCAGAATTAGAGGTTTTTCTGAGAGAATACAGACCAGGCCGGAGAGAACCCAGTTGTGGGCTGGACCGTGCCAGCAGGCAGTAAAACCTGCACCCTCTCAGGAAGCCAAGTGTGGAGGCATCTGGAGGCACACAGCTCCCCTGGGGCTGAGCCAGCAGCGGGCCCAGGAGACTGAGTGCTGCCCCTGGTCAGCCTTCCCCTCTGCTCCAAAAAAAGGGAGGATTCGGGGAGGGGAAACCAGTCATTTACAGGTTTTACTGAACTTTAGGCCATGACAACCCATGAAGAGCTCAGAGCTGACAAACATTTCAATCATCTGCACTAAACCTTTATGAGAATGTCAATATTTGATTTAGAGCAGCACTTCATGCAAGAAGTCGCCAGGAATATCGACCAGCAAATTACTAACTCTTTGGACAAGAGAAAATTCCTTGGTTTTCTGGGTAAAATGATGCTCCGCCCACGACTAGTGGCTTCAAGGAGCAAATCCCCGGGTTCTCCTGGCAGACGTCCTGTTCTCTACCAGCTCTGACAGAATCCGAAGAAAATATGTGCTCCCACAATGGCATCTGGGAACAGCTATAGGATAAATGATCCCATCAAGCTCTCCCCTGAGCACATTAGATGGGGGGACAGGGACAGAGACAAAGAATGTCACTGAGGAAGGAGGCCATGGCCAAGTCTCCTCCCCCACTGGCTGCTCCTTGGATGGTGAGAAGCTGAAGTCACGACTCCCTAGTTCACAGGTGGGAAAGGGAAATGTACAGGTGGAAGGTCTGGGGTCACCCACACACTGATTTACTCCCCAGTGTGAGCTCTGGATCATGAAATGTCTTTGAACGCCAATCCTGCCACAGAAAGGCAGAACAGGGCAGGAAGCCATGCCGGGAGCTGGAAACAGAAGCCAGCCTGGGCAGACAGGCAGTCACCTTCCCAGCCTGTGTTCATGGGAGGACTGCAGGCAGTGCTGTCAGCTCTCCCATGTCCCCAGCACAGGCTGCCCAGCACAGAGCAGGCATTCAGTGATGTATCTGCTGAGCCCAATGCGGCAGACCATGCCTTTGTCGCTCCCCTGTGCTGCAGGGTCCATCTGAGGCACCTCACAGGAAGTGTAATCCAGCCCCTCCTCACGTCAGAACCGCACAGCAGCCCGTTCTCTGATGCCACCTTGGCCTAGGGGGAAGACCACAACAGAATCCTTCCTACTCCTAAAACGTAGGAAGCAACCTTTCCTGGCTCCAAGAAATGATAGGAAAATCAGCCAAACCTCCACTCATAGCCAAAAACTGGCTCTCAAGTAGAAGCAGGTGGCAAAAACGGGGACAGGGATGACCATCCTAGGAGAGTTTGCTGCTTTTGCTGCATTAGACTGTTGGTTTCAGAATGGGGTGGTCTCCATGAATGAGCACATGTGAAATGGCCAGACAGCATCTGCTCCTAGGAGGTGCTCAGCACCTCTCAGCTTCCTCCCTGCTTCCCTTCTGCAGTGACATGTAATGGTGACAGGGGAAGGAGACCATCCAAGGGACCCAGGATACCCTGATATCTTCAGAGGTCCAGACACAACCCTGAGGGAAGAGGCGCCCTCCAGGTCTGCATGACTCATATGTCATTTGCAAGAATGTCCTGCGTTTCTGAGACCATCACACTCAGAAGCCTATGTTTTCAATGGGATGAATTAGGGCCATAAAGATCATGTCACAGAAGCAACCTCAACTCGACAAACATCTCCCACAGGACAGGGACTTCTGTGAGGTCTCTGAGGTAACAAAGGCCTTTTTCACAACACCCCTGACGCTGGCTGCCCCTGCAGGAAGCTTACACTTACCAACAGCGAGTCCAGGTGGGCCTCCGACCAGACCACCAACGAAGGCCACAGCCCCTGTGACCAGGGCGCCTGTACCAGAGTGCTTGACGGCCGCCTTCATTTTCCTCTCCCCAGAGATGGAGCACAGCAGCTTCATGACATCTTCCATCACGATGGGCATCTTGGCGAGCCTCGAAGGAAGCATTTCAAAGGGAAACTCTTAACGAGCGTCAGAGTATTTGCACCCAGTGTCACTCTTGCTAGAGTTTGGAGGACGGCCTCATGCAGAGAACAGGAACTCTGCCGTATGCGGAACGGACACACCCAGCAATGCAATGGGTTCCTTGCCACAGAGGAAGTCGGGGAACCACTAGTTAATAAGCACACAGAACCCGCAGAATGCATGAGAGGTCTTCCTTGCCCTCTGCGTAACTTCTCATTCATGACAGATTATGGTACAGGCCCAGCCACAAGCTGCATCTGTTCATCACAAGTGAGGCAAGCGTGTCCTCTCTTGTGCCTGTGGCCTTCCTGCTGGCTCAGGCAGCCCCAGTGCACAGATCCTGGCAGAGGGCAGAACATCCCAGCCTCAAGTCCTCTGTCATGTGACAGGGCAATGGAGCTCATGCCAAGCTCAAGAAGGGGAAAGTACTGGGCTCTGTGACCATCCTGGCCTGTGCCAGCACCTGCCTGCCCCGTGACCCTGAGTTGAGCATCAGATTCCTCAACTATAAAGGGAGATAAGCCACCTACAAGCTGGATTCTGGAAAGGTCTGAGGGGAATGGATGCAAAGTACCTGTTGTGAGTCTGGAACACGCGGCCCTGAGACCTGATGGCTCTAAATGAATGTTCTGTTACTGATACACACCACTGGCTTTTCTGTAAGCAACCACTCCTAAAGCCCATCCAGTTCTGTGTGGGGCATAGTAAAGGCAGGTACAGGACGGCCCTAAGGACGACCAGTAAGATGGAACAACCAGAGAATAAAATAAACCAAAGAATTCCAGAGGTTTTCATGTGTTTGGATAGACAGATAGATGGACCTTTGGAACAATGACCTTAGAATAATTCTTGTGGTCAGGAAACTGTTGGCCACACTGGTGGGAAACTGGCAGGCAGACAGGGCAAAGGCAGGGTGGGCTCTGCCCCAGGGTCAGGGGGAATAGAGAGCCACAACACTGACAGGACACCTGATAGGACCCAGAAGTAAAATCAAAGAGACCATGGGCTGGTGCTTCTCCTCTTGGCTTCAACTGGACCCAAGGCTGGAAGGTACTTCCTTTCCTTCACTCCCCTTTTCATGCAAGCAGTGCCTAAAGGAACTTGGCAAAGTTTGGAGCAGACCCTGTTGCTTAAGAACTCTTGGTTACCTCTCCTTTTGACCCAACAAAAATCCAGAACCAGCCACTCATGTAGAATCATCCTCTCAATCCTGGAAGAGAATTTTGAGCCCCTAGAACAAGCTTGTGGGTCTGCTGGATCACCACAGTCAGGGTTCAGAATTTCTCTGCAGTCCTAGGAGAGGTAAGAAGTGTCCTGGGCTCTCGCCCCTGCCATGTTCTGAATCAGTGATTCTCCACAAGCGCACCCCACTTTGGACAGTAAGACTCTAAGAGACCATGACCCAGACACCTGACATCGGCTACTTAGTTCTCAAGTTCAGAAAGTGCAAACAAGCACCCCACAAAGTGTCTGTTTGACCAAGTGGGGTGTAGAGGCAATGGAGGGTCAGACCCTGCAGGGGTGCTCAAGGGACTGGAGGAGAAGTCAGGAGTGCCTGCCCCCACTCTGGCACCATGTGTCCTGGACCTGCCGGCACACCTCCGAGCTTCCTGCCCCTTTCCTCACTACTGCAACCCCTTGTAGACAGAGTCCATGCCGCCTCCTCCACCCTGGAAGAGAGCCCACGTGAGGGTCATGACTTGCCCACACACGAAGGTCACAATAATAAAATAGCATTGTTAACAGCAAAAGGACTGCACATGGCAGAAGTCACTGAGAAATGAGGGGATGGAAGCTATGACTTGATTTACCCAGTAGCCATGGAGCTGTAAGGCTATGCAAATGAGTTTTATTTCAAATACTAATTTAATTCACATACTGATAATCAAAGGAATTAATTCCACGGTAAAACTTTCAAGAAGCTAACAATTCTCCTGTAAAACACCTAATCGTCAGATAGTTTATATCTGGTTTATATCCAACTTTCTATCTGTCCATTATGCTGGGAAAAAGGGAGATGAAATTCGGACCCAGGAAGGCCCCTCTGGAGGTGTCAGTGAGCTTCCCATTTCCAGGCACACGAAGACCCCAAGCATGGCTGCCAAGTTGGCTTCTTGGCCAGGGCACTCTGCCCAGACACTGCTCTTAAAGCAGGGTTTCTGCACGATTATAGACCTACACTCTGGAAACACTTTCTGCACAGCAAGAAAATGCACGGATAGGAGGCAGGAAACAGCCACTTCATATTCTGTGGTCCATCTAAAAACCTAGCTTCCCACCTACTCTGAATGACTTCATACAAACCCAGAGGGGCTAATAAGGCATCATCATGCAAAGACTACTTACTCCCAACCTCCACTCAGCCCAGGCAGACCAGCCCAAGGCAGGAGCCCAGGGCTCTGTAGACCTGGAGGGCCAGCAGGTGTCCTGGTGTGTGGGAGGGCACGAGAGGCCCACCTCTGGCTGGGTTCAACAGCTTCACACCACAGCAAGACGTGGCACTGTGGCTGCCTCAATGTAAGACAGAGCTGGTTTAATTTCTGTGTGAAAATCATTTTAGATTTCAGAGCATCAATAGACTCTTGTGGAAGAAAGGTTTGTCACCCCATCTCCTGAGTCCTTG